AATAAACGGATTTTGTGATTGCATATTTCATATTTCCTTCTCTGTTGTCATTGTTTTCAGTTCCAAATAGTTCAATAATTTATTTAGTGATTTTCAATATTTTCATTTGTCAAAATTGCAGAATATTATTATTGACTGACGACTGACACTGACAAGCCAGTTAACAACTCTTCTTCTTCTTTTCCTTGAGAAATCCAGTCCTGTGCACCGGTGTCTCTGTGCTTTGTATCCCGTCAGGCGGTGTTCTATGTTTCATGAATTATTGACATTAATGGAAAAATATAATTAATTAACCTCACTAAAAATCCGATATTAGAAAATTAGAAAATCGAAGGAAAAGAAAAGAAAAATACAAATTGAATCTGTTTAATTAGTTTAGAACTGTGTTTCCGATTCTCCAGGTAGAAATAATGAAATAGTTGAATAGATAATTTTCCAGACCTAACCTTAAAATACCAAAGACCTGAGAGATAATTTGCTTTGATTCCTGTAATTATCCAGACCAGAAATTGCAACCAGTATTCCAGGCTAGACCCAGGGTTTGTAATTAAAGCCTACACTCCCTTGGCTACTTATTGATTCCAGGTCGATTCAATACCATTGACCCCTGGATTATACTGTGGGTACCGAGGTAGGTATACCTCCTGTACCTTTCTCCACTGTTGCTACTGTGGGCCTCCTTCCCGACTAAGTTGGGAGGAGCAGGTGAAGTAAATCACCTTTATCAAAAATCTGGCGCTCGAGAATCCCCCCTGTCAAATACCAGAGTAGTCTCCTGTCCTGAACAGAGCGTCAAAGTAAGGGCCGCAGAATAAAGACCCTTACGAGGATCGCCACCGTGTTCCAAGAACAGTGTAAAAGTTCCCTGCGAGTCTTGTAAAAGATCTTTCCGTGGACAAAACTGTTTTGATAACCATATTCAAAACGGCGTTTGTGATGGGATTAGACGTTGTGAGTTATGTTTCAAAATTGTCCCCACCAATAGAACTCACACCTGCGGAGAGATCTATTGCAAGATTTGCAACGAGCACCAGCCTTCTGGTCATTTATGCTATATTCAGCTCGACACGAAAGTACCCAAGACTGATGATCTCTTGTTTGTCTTTTATGATCTGGAGACTCGTCAGGAGAGTGTACAGGCAGATGGATCTCTTCTTCATGAGCCTAATCTGTGTGTCTTTCGTCAATGTTGTGACGTCTGCATCGATACCACACAGCAAATTTGTTCGAAATGCGGGGTTCGTTTACAAATTCTCAAATGTAACGACCCCATATCCCCATTTGTTCATCATGTGTTGACGATAAGGAAGAAATTTGAAAATGTCACCGTTATAGCTCACAACAGCGGAAAATTTGACCACGCCTTCATTTTAAATTATATTTTGACCAAAACTACTCTGAAACCTGATCTTATAATGAGAGGCACACAATTAATCTCCATGACTGTCGGCAATACGGCAATGTCAAGTTTTTGGACTCTCTCAACTATTTCCCAATGGCTCTGGCAAAACTGCCCAAATCTTTCGGCTTCTCTGAATTGAAGAAGGGGTATTTCCCCCATCTCTTCAATCGTGTGGAGAATCAAAATTACAAGGGCTCGATTCCTTCTCTACAATTCTATACCCCTGATAACCTGGTTTCAGATGCACGCGCATCGCTCATAGAATGGCATTCTGAAAGAGTCGCTGAAAATTATGTTTTCGATTTCTCCCGAGAAATCATAGATTATTGTGTTTCGGATGTGGATATACTGACCAAGGCCTGTTTCAAATTTCGACAGCTCATGTTGTCTGAAACTAATGTGTGTCCGTTCACTGAAGCCGTAACGATCGCTTCCATTCCCAAGAGTGGCTACAGGCATTGTAATAATCAATCTGTGATAACCACCCAGTGGTTACTTTGGGAGGAGAAACTACGGAATATAAAAATCCAGCAGGCCTGCCGATCCTCAGAGGCTCTTATCCGTAATCTCAAAGTTGATGGGTATTTTGTCGAAACAAAACAAGTTTTCGAGTTTCAAGGCTGTTTCTATCATGGCTGTCCTCGTTGTTTCAATCATCAGAGAGATACCCCTCTGAAAAACTGTCCTTCCGAGACTATGAATCATCGTTATGACACGACCATTGCCAGAATTGATAAACTCAAATCGTTAGGGTATGAGGTTATTGAAAAATGGTAGTGTGATTTTCGCAGGGAACTTTCCAGCAGTGAAGAACTTTGTAGCTTTGTCAGCAATCATCCCCTGCTTAAAAAAATCTACCCCTTGACCCTCGAGATGCTTTCTATGGTGGTCGAACGGGAAACACTGTCGAATATTACAGGGCCAGGGATGGTGAACAAATAAAATACGTTGACGTTTGTTCGCTCTATCCGTGGGTATGTAAATACGGCAAATTTCCTATAGGTCATCCGAAAGTACTTGTTGGTGAGGAGACTGAATCTCTTTTCTCTGTTTCGGGGCTCGTTAAATGTACGATTCTCCCACCTCAAGATCTTTTTCATCCTGTTTTACCGCAGAAAATGAACAACAAGTTGATGTTTGTTCTTTGTCGTGTGCGTGGTGAAAGCTATAATACTAGTAGTTGTCATCACTCTGATGAAGAACGTGCGTTGACAGGTGCGTTGACAGGTACATGGACTGTTGCAGAGGTAATAAAAGTCATTGAGGTGGGGTATCGAATTATCGAGATCAAAGAGATTTGGTCTTACGATACTGTGCAATTTGGTGAAGATGTTTCTGGTCTTTTCACCGATATGATGAATAAATTCATCAAAATGAAGCAAGAATCATCAGATTGGCCAAAGTATTGCAAGACCGAAGAAGAGAGAGAAAAGTATATTGAAGACTTTTTACAACGGGATGATGTTTTGTTGGAATATTCTAAAATAACCGATAACCCCGGTTTAAGAGCACTAGCCAAGCTTATGGTGAATTCCTTCTGGGGTAAGTTTGGTCAGCGTGAAAACCAGCCTATAACGTCTATAATCAATCAACCATCGGAATTCTTCTCGATGATCAGAAGGAGATTAAAAGAAAGGGGTTGATTTTTTTGTTCCTACGGTTATGGGATGAACGGGGTGGATTATTTCAGAAAAATAGAAGTTATCGTTATTTGACAAGGAATTATAAGGGATATGTTTGGAGAGACATTAAAATATAAAGTTTAGCAACGATATTTGGAATAGGGAATTTCAGGATAGTAAAGAAACCTGGTTATAATGCAGATAGGTTTGTGCTTTCGCTTTTTATATTGATTTAATTAATATGGCCCTACAACCGAGGAGACAGAGACATCAGGGACAGCAGAGGGTGAAACGTCACTCATGGAACCGACGGTACGGTTCTGGGAACGACGCCGCGACAGTGGCGGCGTAGGTGGATATTTCTAGGGGTGCGACCTAGGAAGGTTGCGCATAGGACTGGTGAGCCAGTCGGGAATTGATGAGAATATAGGATATTCCTTAGGTGTGACCACAGGAGGTCGCATGGTTGGCTGGTAAGTCAATTTTGGATTAAATGGGAATAGTACGGAATACTATACAGGGAGAACAACCCAGGGAGGTTGAGATAGTGTATAGGTGAGGTAGAAAAAGTGACAGTACGGGGTACTGCGGGGAAATAGGTAGATAGAGAGGATAAATAAGGATAGTACAGGGTACTATAGGGAATTCAACCCAGGAAGGTTGATAGGTAGATAGCGAGATTAAATGGGAATAGTACGGGGTACTATATACAGGAAGGACAACCCAGGGAGGTTGTGATAGCTTGACCAAAGGGTCGAACTGATTTTTTTTGTCACCATTGACACAAGGTAGTGCAAAATGAGGCCTTGGGATTTTTATTCATTTTTGGTCATCGGTTATGTAATTCAATACCCGTCGTAGCTATTAGGCAGGGGAGTAGTTGTTTTAGTGATGAATCAGGGGTTGAAAATTCCATTAGCTAGCCTAGGAAATTGCACTAGAGAGAGATAAGCTCACAGCGAGTGAGATAAGAGGATAATAGAGAGTTGATAGGAAGTTAAAGTCCTCAAAATTAGTTTATATGCGAGGATCGCCATAGCGATTAGAAGAGAAATAGGGGGTTGAAGTGCTTGGGGAGTCAATTTTAAATTGGGGAGGATGAAAAGGGACTGAAGTGAGTCATGAGGGATTTTTGGTCCTTATGACTGTATTGACGTTGATTTGAGTAGAATATTGAGTCCAAGATGGAAAGTTGAGAGACCATGTTTAGGTACTTTGCACGATTTTTTTTTTCATAGGTAATTTTGAGTCATGGGGCAGAACGTTTAATTCAATAATTTGGAAGGGGTAAATCATGGCTACAGAATATAATACCGAGGAGTTCAAGAAATAATATATACAGGGTGCGAATAATTCTTGGAGGTTAATATAAAATAAAGTGAATTGAAATTTTGGAATTTCAAAATGTTTTAGATATTAACGAAATGTATTGAAAGGTGCTATAACCACACCTTTCAAGGCGAACTGTAGACACAATTTAAGGTACGTTGAAGGCCCAGGCGAACCTTAAATTTTGTATGGTTACTTGGGAAAATATTTTAGGAATTTCAGTAAAAATAAATGATTTGCGTAGTTTGATTGGCATAATGTTGTAACATTGTATTGAATATTTGTTTGTATCGTTCAATCAGAATATTGGTTGTTATTTCGAGAATTTGGGTAAAATTCACTTTTTGGGTTATTTTTGTGAGCGAGCCAGGACAGCAGCCCACATGAGATGCGGTGTTTCTTCAAATTACACTGGTGGTTGGTTGCCTCATTGATCAATGCAAAATCGGGTTTTTGGTGTCGGGCACCTTTGTGAAAGTCTACATTCGGAAGTGTTCGAACTGAAGTGCGAAGATCTCATATAGACACTGATAAGGACATTAAGTGTTTCGCGTAACGGAGGCGCATCTGTTATACGAAAGATCACTGACACATAGATAAGGAGATGTCATGACGAGGGAGCTGATATCGACATTTTGGTCTTTCCTCTACATTTTAGCTGTGCTAGGGCGGCTTAAGAATTCCTTAGTGGGTAGGCCCTTACCCGACGGTAAAAGTCCGTTCAAAGGTGGGTGGTTTTTGTTTCTGCCGTTCATGATTAAGGGAATGGCATATTTCTGTATTGGGGTGGGTTTCGTATACCCCAATTTCTTTACGTTTTCCTCCTCATTTTTCTTCATGCCGTGCAGGGCCGGCTTAAGAATGTTTCTGCAGGCGAACCCCCTGTCTGGTAAGAATCCGACGAAGTGGTGACATGTTTTTTTCATATTCCCCAAATAATTTTCACATACATTGGTTTTCCTCCTCGTCTACATTTTAGCTGTCCTAGGGCGGCTTAAGAATTCCTTAGTGGGTAGGCCCTTACCAGACGGTAAAAGTCCGTTCAAAGGAGGGTGGTCTTGGTTTCGGCCGTTCATGATTATGGGAATGGCATATTGTTTTTCCTCCTCGATCTACAATTTAGCTGTACTAGGGCGGCTTAAGAAGTCTTTAGTGGGTAGATCCCTTCCCGGCGGTAGAAGTCCGACCAAAAAGTGGGATCATGCGAGTGGATGTGATTGGTCAAGGGACCAAGCAGAGGTTCATCATCGGTCAGCGAGACCGAGAGAAGAGATGCGGTTGGTCGGGGACCAAAAATGAATACTATCGGTCAGAGAGACCGAGAGAAGAGATGCGGTTGGTCAAAGAACCAAAAATGAGATAGGTTGGTCGAGGACCAAAACGAATACCACCGGTCACGGGGATCGAGAGGAAAGGTGCGGTTGGTCGAGGACCAAAACGATTACCATCGGTCAGGGAGACCGAGAGAAGAGATGCGGTTGGTCAAAGGACCAAAAATGAAATAGGTTGGTCGAGGATCAAAACGAATACCATCGGTCACGGGGACCGAGAGAAAAGGTGCGGTTGGTCGAGGACCAAAACGATTACCATCGGTCAGGGAGACCGAGAGAATAGATGCGGTTGGTCGGAGACTAAAATGAATACCATCGGTCACGGGGACCGAGAGAAAAGGTGCGGTTGGTCGAGGACCAAAATTATTACCATCGGTCAGGGAGACCGAGAGAAGAGATGCGGTTGGTCAAAGGACCAAAAATGAAATAGGTTCTTCGAGGACCAAAACGAATACCATCGGTCACGGGGACCGAGAGGAAAGATGCGGTTGGTCGGGGACCTAAAACGATTACTATCGGTCACGGAGACCGAGAGAAAAGGATGCGGTTGGTCGGAGACCAAAATAATTACCATCGGTCAGGGAGACCGAGATGAGAGCAGATGCGGTTGGTTCAAAAGAAAAAGAGGCCCATGGTCAATCTCCAATACAAAATGGTTGGACCTGAAGGGGAGTATTTGGAAACATGCCGGAGTGAGATTTATTTTCAACTTGGATGCAATATCACCGATACTGCTCACTAGTGCGGATTCTCTCAGTTAGGGACTTGGACAATTTCAAAGGACAGATAAATGTGAAGGACTATAATACCCACAAACAGTTCGCGATTAGGGGTTTGCAATCGATCACTTAAGGGAGCTATATCACCCAGGCGTAATCAGCAGGTAGCTGAGTGATAAGGATGATACAGCGCCGAAGTATCATCTTTCGGTAGTGAACCTAAAGGCAATTTTAAAATCCGAGGCACGTGACGGGATTAAAGAGAAGTGATTCTTTTATATTTGGAATTATTATTAGTAGGATATAGGATTTTTTTTTTTTGGAATAATGGGATAAAAATAGATGGATTATCTTTTTTTATAAAGGTATACCAAAGGCATTCGGTTGATTGTTTGGTTGATTTGTTGATTGTGATGATTGTTTCGTATATTTTGATGATCATGTGGAACCTTTGGCGTACCGTATATTTTTTTTGGGGGGTCTGATTTAGGAAAAGTTAAAGCAATGGAGCATTAACTTTCTCAAAGGGAGAAGTATTGTGAGAGAATCACCCTGTAGTGATTCTGTTCAGTTTATTTAGGCGACAAAATGTGATGGGAGTTCAAAATGTATGGTTCGAAATTTCAAGCAAGTGAATTGTTGACGGAAATAATTAATCATTCACGGTTCCACTTCGAAATATAATATTGAGGCTAAGAGCTATGTTTCGCATCGATAAGATAAACAATTTGAGTTGAGAACAGACTACTCAGTCTGTGCAACATTGTATGGGCAATGAATTATGGGGTCGTTAGAAATATATATCAGAGATATGTTTTCAACTTGTCATCAGAAACTTGAGTGGGAACCGTATTGGAAATATATTGATGAGTTATCAAAATTGTCGGAAGAAAAATATTCAAACCACACCTTTGGGGGCGGTATGGAAAAGAAAGTTGCAAAATATTGATATGAGTGACCAATGGAAATTATGGTAGAAATTAAGAACCAATTGCAGATCGGTAGGACGGGATTTTCTACTGTTTAGAGATAAACGACTTCGGGAGACGAAAGATAAAAAAAGAACTTGCGGAGTCGATACCGGGACAGTCGAACGAAGAGTGGAAAGCGGGAACCGGGTGCGAGTGGGCGCTAGGCCCCCTTCCGGGGCCCAGTGAGATCCTCGGAATTTCGGGAGTGTCGGATTATTTTGTTTTTGGGTTCCCGGGAATAATGAATAACAAGTCATAGGGTATCAGTTAACGGAGCAAGGCGCTGGCTTTCAAGGAAGCCAGAATCCTAGGATTACATAGGCACTGAGCGTCGGGACGCTGGGATTTCTGGACGTAGTGTTATTTAGGTATTCAATTAACATCTGGGAACGCGCTGTTAGTCTCGGGTTGAAGTTATGGGCATTGAGAGTAAAGAATTGTAAAGAATGGGGCTTGCTTTAAAGTTTTAGATGGGAAATAATGGGAATAGTTGGGTTATCAACTATATAGATTTTTAGGGTTACATTTTAGATGAAATGGGTTATTTAGAGGCGGTATTTTAGTGTTCGTTCGATACGTTGTGACTGTTAAGGTGAAAAGTGGAACTTTGCTTATCAAAAGGATCATCAGGCTTTCTAGGGGCGAATATTGAGGCGTCGCAGTTTCAGAATTGGTCATTCTGACTTCACCGGTGAGTTGTTGGGTTTTATCTGAAATTAATAGCGTATTACAGGGTATTTTATATGGCCAAGATAAGGGATTTGCGATTTTGCTTTAGACGTCGAGTAAAACCAGGTTTCTTTCATGTTTGTGTAGTTTCAGAGCGGTACAAAGAATGAGTTAGAAGGTAGGTTTCTGTCTTTCATAGTGTAATGTACCATCACCCAGTATATCATTGTTTCGAATATTGGAATCTTTGGTCGCCACTAATATTTGTCTATCGATATAATTTCTTGTTAATCTCATGTACTCATTAAATATTTTGTACGAAGAACTATCAATTATCGCATTTAGCTAATAGTATCAATCTTATCTATGTGTTCTCGACCATTTCTTGTTTTGAATTTGTTATGCTTTATTTACAATCAATCATGATAATATCTTCTTGTATAAAAGGGATGTTTAAACACATTATTAGGATATATAATATCATTTTAGATCGTCATCGACGACTTATTATTCACGAAGAACTCAATCTTTATTCCAAATCTGAAATCTCTGAAGAAAAGTATTCTTCTTCATTCTAAATCAAAACTGTACCAAGTTATATTCCATCAACTATTGCAACTTACATCGTAATACAAAAGTTCCTAGAAGTGTTGTGTTTTCCTGAACAACCTGACAACCCATTACAATAGTTCAAATAGGTTTTATAAGCGGAATTAGGAAGCGATAGAAAATCAGTTTTCTGTTACACTTTTGTTTGGGTTTATAAGCGGAATTGGGGAGAAT